TTGAGGTTTGCAAACTTTTTTAAAAACTAGCACTCCCCTTATCACATGTTCATGATGTATTGAATTAGACCAATGGTTTGAGGAGGAGGAAGTTGGGATATAGAGTGTACGAAGTTTTTATAGCATTGTTTAAATCAAAGGCAGACATAATGAGAACCTCCACGCCCATTCTACTAGATCACACTGTTTCCTTTATTCATTGTTTTAAATCTCAATTTAACTTTAAAATGTATATGAGGAAGGTAATATGTAATAGACAAAAGCCAAACTCAATTTGTTGTAAATCTAAGGAACTCTAGTCATCCCAGTGTGTGGATTCTACACTCACTAAGCAGAAAGCCTTTGCTTGCATTCATCCTCATTGCTCCTCTTCTGTGTAGAGAGAATATGCATTGAGTAGCTTCGAAATAAGAAAAAGATAATTTCCAATTTGTTTGTTACACTAGTGACTGATAGTTAACTATTATGGGGTATAGGGGGTAGACATGCTAACCAGATAACAGAGTGAATTCTAGATCAATCCCCCACATCATTTAAGCATTTTGAATGTAATTGTTTTGAGAGCTATGCTGTTTTCTTCTAGGGGCAGATGGCCATGGAAACTTGTACCACATAACTACCCTGTGGTATGAATGGGACAATGTCTGAGACATGTGAGCAGCTTTAGTCCCTCTTTCCTGTCTTGGTGAACACTATCATATCCATTCAAGTCCTGAGTAAAACCTTTAGAGTCACCCTTATTCTTCTCTCTCCTCTCTTTCATTCCTATATCGAAGCTACCAGTCAAATATAGACAACTACAAATCCCTCACAACGTACTTCTTATTTACTCCTTATTTCCTTTTCCACTGTACCTTCCTATCCAGGCAACCATAATAGCTTTTAGCTAGTCACTAATGTTGTTTTTAAGACAAAACATAAAATCATGCTATTGCTACTTAGTTGTCCCAATTAAAGCTAAAAACTCAATTGTAGTTTTTTTTTTTTTATTCTTCTCATGATGACCAGTTGTGGGTCTTTGTGTTTATGGAAAAATGAAGCTTCTCATATGAGGGTTGGGAGATGCACTAAACAATGGGTATAAGTTGGTTCAATGCTATATCTGTTTAGCAATAGGTTATCCTATACTAGCCTTGGGTTTGGGGCCATGTTAATGGTGCTAGACACATGTTCTTGTCGATCTAGGTTTAAATCCCATTTGAAATGTGGTTGGTTACTCTCATAACATTCATGCCACCATGTACTAGTGGGCATATTTTGATTCACTGATCATTATTGTAGCTTGTGGGGTTTGTATTCCTATTGGACAGCTTTCCTAGCTTTTGGGTTGGTACCAACTTTATTTCTCCGTGTCCAATGATCAAAGTATGTGTTATCTTCAGCAAGAGGGTCTTACCATTACGTTACAAAGAGTAACCCAGCCATCAGAAATGATTTCACCCAAATGTTCATTTTCCATCTATTTGTTTTGCTAGCTAGAATATTTTGAGACAAGGGTGTTGTCTGTTTTTCCTTTGAACCTAGGACCTCATTCATACTAGTCAAATGGTCTGTCATTGAAATGACTCCCCCAGAGAGACCAGGGTCTTTCTGCATATGTCATAAAATGCTTTAAAAACACAATTCATACCTTCTTTTATGAATTACATACAGACCCACAGGACTTCATCATTATTGCAGACATCCCTGCGCTCCTCTCATCACCATCACCACTGACTCATGGAAGAAACCATTGAATTCTGGAACAATTCAGAGTAGGATGTCCTCAGACATGTACCAATAAGATAGACCAGTAAAGTTAAGAAGAATTAGAAAATATCCAATGACACCAGCCTTTCAGGTCACTAAAGTCAATAACAGCTGCACATTTCCATTTTACAATCTATTAGAAAAACTAATGGTTTAGTTGTGTTATTTTTTTTATTTTTCTTTGGCTCCAATCTCAGTATTCAACATGTCCTGTAGTCATAAAATATAAGGGGGCTTTTTACAGTTGTCCATCTACAAAGTCATGGAACACAGCCCATGAGAATGTCAGGTGTGTTAATCATTTAATGGGGAGGCACTGCCCATTTCAAAGATGAAACAGTAAGTTCACAATCCAATTAATGTGAACTCTTGTTTATATTTTAATGCTTATCAATCACTTATGGATACTAATAGTGTTTCACTTACCAAGGGGAAGTGATGATATACAAAACTTAGCTAACTTGTAGAAAGACTATTGGTAATGCAACATTTGATATGTTTAATTTGATTTAATTTCAGTAAATTTATTGTCTATTGTCATGACAAACTATATAATTTTAACATGTACTATAAGAGCAAGTTTGAGATGTGTGTGTGTACACATTTTAATGTAGTTACCCTCAGAAACTCAATGACTAGCAAGATGTTGAAATATTAAAATGGAAACTCAGGTGGTTGAGATTTCTAGAATCTTAAACATTCTTGCATCTTTTTCTCCATCTGCCTCTTACATGACTTTCTGAATCAACTAATCTGGAAGAAATACTTTAGAAAAAGAATTGTGTGGACTTGTTTTTCTTTTTTTACACCCTAATAAATGCCAGTCTTGTGCAATGTTTTGGTTCCAGCTTTAAACACCAAAAGAAATATGGAAATGAATATACAAAAATGTGATTCAAATGCATATGTAGATTCTTAGAAAAACATCAAAGTCTGGTAATAAGGTCTTTCTTTCTCTTTTTCTTCCTTCCTTCCTTTCTCCCTCCCTCCCTCCCTCCCTCCCTCCCTTTGTTGGTACCTTCGTCTTGCTGGGAAAGCCCAGCCTGCTCATAGTTGCAATGTTCTTTGTACTCTCCCTGATAAAAATGCTTTACCTAAGAAAAACCCAGCCCCAGTAACAGAAATCAACAGGTATTTAGCTCACAGAGCAGTATACCTGTATAGTAGTACACAGTATGACATCATGGTTGTTAATCCCTGAGACATCCCCAGAATGGTAATAGTAGTTGCATATTTAAAAAAGTATAAGTTATATTCTCTAAGAGCTGGTAATATAGTTTTCAAAAAAAATCACGCCCCCAATAAAAGACACCATTTGTGTATTCCTTTATTGCCTTTAATGCACTAGACTGCATGAATGCTTTATCATTGATTTACTGGGGGCAAATTATAAATGGACAATTATGGATACTTTTATCTTTGTTCATATTATAATGGGATAGTGTGAGACTGTTTTCTGTTGAGCTTCAGAAAAATGTAAGACTTGGAATAAAGTCCAGTCGCTCTAATAAAATCTTAGAACTTGTTTATGAAAAACTACAAAGTCATTTTTGGACCTGAATTTTCACTCTGTCACCTTGTTCTAGAAGGGGATGTGTGTTATAAAAGTTAGTATTTTGTTAGATGAAGTGAATGGGTATGTGCACAGGAATGCCTGCTCCAAGATATCTGCTGAATGCATGAGCAAGCCAGAGTGGGTTTATCAAAGAACATACCTGCTAGAGAAAGCTCAGATCCCTTAAATGGAATTTGGAATATTTTAAAATGGTTTTATATCTTAAATGTAAATCCATTTCCATTAAATACACTAATTACAACCAAAGACCTTCCCACAGACAAAGTAGTCCTGATTTTATGAATGCTGTTCATAATTAATACTGTTCTATCAGTTCTTCATGCCATTTGCTCCTCTCTTTTGGGAATGCCACTAGGTTACAATATGGCTGAGTATAAGCAAAGGGGGGTTGAGATCAAAGAATTGGATGACCCCAGGACATCATGTGGTTGTAGGTACCTACCCAGGTGCTGACTTTTAGGGCCTGTGAATCCTCCATGATGGGGAGAACGAGCTGTCTAGTTTAGCCTTTGAAAGCACTGGAGTTGGAGATGACCTGTTGTATGACATTGCTTTGGACCTGACTGTACGCCTTTTTCCACATGTTATCCTTGCTGAGTGAATCATGTCTTTCAGCTGCACATGTACTTTAAAGAAAAGTCCAGAGCCCCTCATGTAACTGTATGAGTTACCTCACTCAAGGAGTCACATCTTCTCATTGGCAGGTTTGATGTGCTATGTTGAAGGAGATGGGATGATAACTGTGTGAAGATGGAAGAAAGGGAAAATGAGTTTTCTTCTGGACTTGTAGAAAAATACCCTGCGGCCACATGAAGAACACCTTTTAGAGTGGCTTTGCAGGCATCCACCCTTCAAATAACAGTTGTAATATTTTATCCCAAGAATCAAACTGTTCTGGCTTCTTCAGGTGGAACAGCCTTGTTTTCTCTGCAACTATTTGCATTCTGTTTCCATTTGTAATCTATTTTTTTTTCTTTTGGGAAGAAAGAAATTGAACTTTGAGATCTTTTTCCTAGAAACTGCATGCTCAAATTCATTTGAGGAAAATAGCACCTTGATCATATCACTCAATATATTTTTCTTTCAGTAATTATCTGGGTTGGTAATTTTGTATTATTTTTAAAAAATGAAGACTGATATATTCCTTTCTTGCCATCATGCAATGAAGGAGTATACATTTCTAATTAATTAATTGACTGATTAACATTTGTTTTGTGATACAGTCTCTCAAATGTAGCCCAATGTATCCCAGGCTTGCCTCAAACTAGTGGTCCTCCTCCACCACAAAGCTGTTTATCTGTTTATAATACATAAAATACCAAATTGAGGAAAAAGATTGGAGAGGAAAGAAGAGTCCTCTAATCGGGAGTAAATTTATCAGGAGACACCAAGCTCAGGTCATCTATTTAACCTTGGCTGGCAGTGCTCTGCATTAGCTGTCCCTGCCTTTTTCAAATGAACAAGTCTTTTACTTGGCCGTATCCAAACAGAATCTAATTCCCTACTCCCCTGCTGTCAGCTGCTGCCATTGCTAAGGTGTCTGGCAGTCTGGAGGGCGGGGAAGAAGAGGAGATCAGTCATGTTCTTAGTATTTACTTGGTTGTATCTATTTTGAAAGACTAAATAACCTTTTTCTTTACTACAAGATAAAGACAATTCTCTGTTCAAAGTAACAGGTCTTTAGCAGTCCATGTACTAAAATTAAAGCAACACTGAGAAGATTAGATGGCCCTTGTTCAAGGATGGCATGCAAAGTCAGTAATAGATTTGAAATCTTAGTTGATTATCAGCTTTTATTTTCTATGTTTCCATGAATTCTTTTGCTTTTAGAAGTCCTGATGTTAAAATATTCCATTTATGGGAGCTTGCCTGTGCTGCCTCTATGGGATGACTGTCATAGTAATAGTTTTACCACTGCCTCTGTTCTAGCTGCTTGTAAGTACCCTTGTATGAGTGTGTGTTAGAGACTCCTGTGAACTCTGCATGATAACCCTATAGTGGGAAATTACCAATATGGAGCCAACTAGAAATATAAGGGTATTTAATAGGGAAAAACCTTACTTACAGAGCGACCTAGCCAGCTGGTGTGGCAGCAGTCTGTAAGCCGAAAAGGGAAAACAAAACTAAAACAAAGCCCTGACCCTCTCACTCTACGTCACCCTGACCATGCCCTCACAGGCCTGGTCAGGCAGACCTGTAGCCAGCCCCTAAGCAGGCATGGCTACCGGTTCCCCTACATAACCCCTCTCCTTTGAGAGCCCCATAGTAAAGATAGCATGTTAGATTTTACATCCAAGGATGCTGAAGTTGATCAAGTTGGTGAAGAGCTTGCAGCCTGTGACTTGGAAATGTGATCCAGAATGCACCATGGGAGAGCTGCACTCATTGGAGCCCACATTTAGTTGTAGATTCCAAGTAACTTATCTGTACCTCTCTATCAAAGAGGTGATTCTGGTACTCTAGTTCCTGGGAGTCTAATTTAATTAGAAATTAAATTAGAAACTGTTATTGGTGCAGCTTGACCAGAAGTTTTGCTAGAGTTTTAAAGGTGTACTTATCAACTCTATTCACCATTTTGGACATGAGATTGCAGTCAAGTGAATTTAAAAGGATCTGTAAGAGATTTTCACAACCTACATAAATGTACTGGAGACTTTTGTATACGATAGATGCTAGAGGGGCTGGAGAGATGGCTTAGTAGTTAAGAGCACTGACTGCTTTTCCAAAAGACCTGGGTTCAATCCCAGCACCCACATGGCAGCTCACAACTGTCTGTAACTTCAAGATCTAACACCCTCAGACAGACATACATGCAGGCAATGAACATAAGGTAAAAAATAAATATTTAATTAAAATATTTTTTTTCAAAAAGGCAGATGCTAGAGGATGCTTCTGTGGGAGCCTGTGTAAAAACTTCATCCCAAGGAGAAACAAAAGGAAAGTTGGGATGGAAGTCAAAGGATACCAGAAGAGAGATAGTGAAGTCATGCCACCAGACAGAGAAGCAAGCCAAACACGGAGTCAGATGTTCAATGTCCCAATGAGAGAAGGGGACACAATTATCCACCAAAGGTAAGCAGTCATAACCCCAGGACAAGCCTGGGTGTTGGTGAAGCTGTAATTCCTCTGGCAGGTGAGTCAGCAGTGAAGAGAAATCCCATTCAGAGGGCAATGGTCTGGTGCCATATTGAGGGAGAGTCTATTGCTAAAAACTGACTACTCCGGGGTACATCAGATCAGGGATCACCCATAGGTCAGGAAGCCTCAATTTGGCCTGTCAGGGAAAGGCCAGAGAGGAAGACTGTCTGGATCCTGATTGGCTGAAAGGTTATATATTGGGGTATACATAGGGAAAGATAACCCTGCTCTCAGGTGGTGGCCTGGAACAAATCTCATCAACTGAGAGTTACCCTCATGATATAGTCAAGATGCCAACAATATAAGCCAAATAAACAATACAAAAAGCTGTAAGAGAAAAACACTAACTTAATTACCAACACAGAACAATGAAATAATATGCAGTTCCTCATCATCAGTTTCCAAATCCAAGAATGCATGGAAAGTCAGTACCTGCTAAGAGTTCTATGCCTTGCAATGCTGTCTTTTAAAATTGATATAGAAGCAAAAACATTTCAAGGGAAACACAAACTAAGGCAATTCATGACTGCCAAGCTAGCACTGCAGAAGGTGTTTCAAGGACTACTATACAGAGGACGAAGAACCTCTCAATTTCCAAAGTCCAAGAAGTAATAATAAACTTCAAGAGATAATAGTTGGATAAAGGACATCAAGGAAGGATGCCATCATTTCTAACACAATTACCCAGGAAACCCCTAATACTGATAAGGGAGAAAGTGAGGTTGAACAAGAATCCAACCAATCATAAAAATGAACAAAATTATAAGAGTTAGTGAAAATCTCTCAATAATAGCATTAAATGTAAATGGTTCAAACTCCCCAATAAAGAGATACAGATTTGTTGATTGGACTAAAATCTGGATGTGAAAACTTATTTTACCAATAAAGACACCTATAACCTGACTGCTAAAAGATGGAAAATAACATAATAAGTGAATAGAAACTGAAAGCAAGCTGCTATTGAACATATTCTGAGAGATGACGAAGTAGACTTCAAACCAAAATTAGCCAGAAGAGATAAGGAAGTACACTGCATGTTAACAAAGGGAGAAATCCATGAAGACACCATATCAAGTATCAATATCTGTCCACCAAACACTGGGACATTCAATTTCTTCAATCATACTGATTGACAATGAAGGTCAGATAGGTTCTGATATAATAATGTGATCTCCTTACTTCTCTCCCATCTAAATTCCAACACAATTTTTATATTTAAACTGTGCCATAGATAAAATGGACTTAACAAACATCTACAGAAGACTCTACGCAGCACAAACAAGATATACATTCTTCTCAGAAACCCATGGGATGTTCTTTAAGATAGAGAATATTCTAGGTCCTGTGTTGGGCCTAAAAAGGCTCAGGTGAGAGGCTCAGTTTAACCCCCTGAGCCTGGCTAGAGTTTGGCAACCTGTCTCTGGCCTATAATCTCCATGTGGGGGTGACTCAGCAAGGCCTGATGTAAGACTGCCCCCTGCCTAGCTACTGGCCAATTTGGTGGAATATTATTGGCCCTTCGTCCTCACATCACCTTACCCCATCCTAAGACTCCCATCCCCTACCTCAACCCTGTGTAAGTTCCTGCCTGTTGGAATAAATCGAGATCCTGCTCCGACAAGTCTCCCAACTCAGTGTGTATTTTCTTCCCAGTAACCAGGAGCGGGGAGGGTCTGAGTTGTTCAACACTCACCATCCTGTTCAGCCTTGGAGAAGAGACTGGCTGGATCAGCCCTTCCTCAGCTCTACCTGCTGGAGACCTAGGCTGTCCTGGACCAACAAAATACAAAAATAACCCCTAATAAGATATTTATTAGATTACAATGAAGTAAAGCTTGAAAAAACAGCAGGAAAAACTACAGAAACTAAAGAATACATGGCCAATGAACAAAACACCCTTGAATGGCCTGTGGTCATTGATGAAATCAGGAAGTTTAAGAAGTTTCTGAAGTCAAATGAAAATGAAAGCAGGAGCTATCAGGCCATTTGAATATTGCTAGAACAGTTGTAAGAGAAAAGTTTATAGGTATGCATGTCTAAACAATCAGATATATCTCAAACAAATAATATGATGCACCGGGGATTCTTGAAAACAAGGACAGCCCAATCCCAAAGCAGCAAATACTAAGAAATAGGAGGGGTCAGGAAGGAAATTAATGGAATGGAGATTCTGGAAATGGAACCAAATTCATAAAGAGGAATCCTCCATCCCTTGTTTTCTCTCTCTTGACAACAAAATGGAAGTGAGGATTGAAACTCCAGCATGAGGACCTAGAGTGTGATGTTACATTGAAAGTGCAAGGTCTGATGTTGGACATGGAGAAAAAATGCATGGAGCTAAATTTTTAATGACATCATGGTTTCATAGTCAACTGTAAGCTATTGCAGACTTCTTTTACAGTGAGAGTGTTAAAAGAATTAAGAACACATCACTATGGTCTATAGTCTCAGATTAAGCATAGGTTATGTAGAATAATAACCTTATTTCCAATTAATCCAGAAAAGCATTTCATTAATTATTGATTGCCTTTATTTATACTTTTATATTAAGGTAGATAATTAGATTTTAATTCAATAAAACTTCAGCTTTTCCTGAAATAATAAAACATTTTAGTGTTGATTCTGTCATATATTATACACTTAAAGGAGGTATTTTATTATATTACTGAGTTCAATGTAGAGAATATGTAAACACTGAATCATATCTGAGGTACTATCATATGGTATTTACATTGTTAGAACTATAAATTACTCTGTATAATAAACTTGGTAAGTGGTCTCTCTCAATCTGTTTGATGAGGTGTAATACATTCACGTATATTTTATTAATTCTACTTTTGTTTAAGCACAATAATCCTACATTTAAGTAATATAGAGGTGCCATGATTTTTTGTTATTAAAAGTAGAGAATATATGAATTCACTTAAAAATGACATGTGTGAGGCTGGATGTACACCTCAGCGGTAAAGTTTTTTCCAAATCTGCATAAGGCCGTTGGTTTGATCTCTAATACTTCAAAAATAAAGGAAGACAAGCATCAGCCCCATGGAGGAGTCCCAGCAATGTGGAAGCTGAGTAAGATCTTCTGGTTCCTTCTCCCTGTAGGCATTTAAAGTTGGTGTCCATCCATGAACCAAAGTACATCCACAGCAGCTAAAAGAACCAGGAAGGACCATAGTATTAGTTCCTTAGAACAAACAGAGGATAGGCCAGGCATAGACATTTGAAGTAGGCAGGATGGAAGAGTTGCCTATCCCATTAACTGTCCATTCCAGGGAACTTGGCATTTAGAGAGATGCTTTCTGCTTGGGGACAAAGGGTGAGGTAAGTCCAGGCTGTGGACTTTAAAATGTAGTTACATAAAGAATACTGCCTGGCAGAACCTTGTAACTCCTCCCACCAGGACAAGGAAGGGACTGAGCTCTTGGAAATCTGTGGGACCTGGAAGCTTCTACCACACACCCTCCAACCTTAGCAGGCAGAACATGGATCAGGACTCCATCTGCTGGGGACAAAAGCTAGTTTGTAGAGATAAGAGCTAGGTTCCTGCACTTCAGGATCAAGTAGAAGCTGAGGGTCAGGAAGACAGGCCAGAACACACAGAGGGAGCTTCTGGACCAGCTCTGGCATCAGGTGGGGA